ATATTTTGCAAAAAGTCGCTTAGAATGTTCGAACAGAGGAACTGGAGACTCTAAGAGTAAGGCTGTCTGTGTGCTTTTAATAAATATATAAAATATTCCAAACTAGACATCAATCATTACGAAAAGCCCCTTCGCTCCGTTCAATGCAGAAATTCTACAAAATTGTAGCTGAGAAGGGATTCCCTTCATGAAAGGGGGAATTCTGATGAAATGAGATCCACACCGAAAGTTGCAGGGTACTCTTCATTTTATATAAAAAGATCGGGCGGCAGTCGAGCTTTTGTTGTTTTTATTGGGAATTCTCAAACAAAAGAGAACGGACAAGCGGGCGGACAGTGGCAGCTGCGGCAACCACAGTGTGGCATCCACATCATCAGCACTAGGAGTGGCAGTGGCAGTGGCAGCCAGGCAATAACACCAAAACAAAAGCAATTATTAGCATAGTCATTAGCACTGCGCCAGCAGCAGCGGGAATCCGCGAGTCCCTCTGAACAAATCTCATGAAACAGAAAATTCTACAGAATCTGAATCTGTGCTGCTAATTAGCGATGGGAACCAACAAAAAAAAAACAATACAACAAAACAAAACATTCGCACATTCCACAGTTCGATGGTGGAAATCAATCCGAATGCGGGCTTAGAAATAAATGGATAATGTCCGCACGTATACATAATCCTTTTATATACTTAATGCATTGGGTATACACTATGTACAAGCAGGAGAGCTCCTGGCAACAGAATTGGCAGCGAAAAGCAACACCCAATGTCAAAATGCCCCATCAGGCACGGAAGGGGTTAATGAGTGACTAATTACGGCAAAAGGAGGGCAGCTTAGGAAGGAATGTCCAATGGAGAAACGAAGGGGAAATGGGGCAGGAAAGTGTTAAATGAGAGAGAGAGAGAGAGAGCGAGAGGTCCCCATACATACATCAGGAATCAGTTGAGAGCGAGCCATTCGGCAGCACGAGCCATGTCCCACTCTAGCCAATAGAAGAGAGAGCGTGGTGCCAAAAAGATCACGCGATGGATGGCTAAAAAAAGCAACGGTGCTGGGACATTTTATGACCCACTGCCGGAGACGATGGCGGGGAACGAGAGAAGGAAAAAACGATAAAAGCAAAGACAAAACGAAAGAAATAAAGGTAAAAGTAAGATAGAGAAGTGGAAGATTATTTATAAATTCAGTTAGAAAAATGAACCCCCAAAAGGAGACCCCATTTGGGGCACACGCATCGACCTTTTTTTTCCTGCGGGATTATTTGGCATTATTTTGCCTTTGTCTCTTCGGCAAAATCATAATCACAGTGAGGATAAAAAATTAAGCAAAAAAAAAGCGCAGCTTTTAAGGAGCCTGCTGCAAATAATTTATTAAGCACAAGCAGGAACCTTCTTCATCCTTCATCGGAGATGGGGCAGCACTCTTTTCTAGGACCTGAGCGAGCCCACTTTCGATTGTGTGTGTGTGTGTGTGTGTGGGTGTAGGCGGCGGCACACAAAATAATGACTAAGCCGAATGATGAGAGTGAGCTGCTGCCGCCTCATCCATGAGTGAGAGACTATGAGTCCCTCTCTTGCATAAAAGAAACGTGAATGAATGGATGGGGGGCATGGAATGGGGCACACAACTGGGCCACTCAATGCATCATCATCTTAAGCCGCATCAAACGAGATTTGTCAGAACTGCTGCCATTGCCACTGCCGCTGATTATGCGACTAAAGAAAAGAATGGGAGATGTGGGAATATGAAATCCATGAAGAATGAACCCCAGACCGTAGAGTTCCTAGGATCAGAGCTTAAAAAAGTCAGAAGAAGAGTCTTTAAAGGAAGAATCTTTAAAATTTCATTGATTTCTGCTCTAAAATAAAACTCAGATCTCTAATGCAAATTTAGACAATTGTCTCTAGCTTTAACCTTTAGGTAAATCAATTTCCGTTCGCCATTGGAGCAGCACATGAATTCCTCATTCAACTATATTTAGCACAAATCAATGATCAAATCTTACGCGCTCGCTCCATCGTGTAAATTCTTTCTCCCCAGAAGCAGTTATTCCAGTTTCTCCAACCCATCCATCCACTAATCAGAGCGTCTAATTATAAAATTATTAAATCAAAGAGCCACTGCAGTCCTCACTCTCTCTCCATTCTATAAAATGCAAAAAGCAAATTGGACAACTGGTTTGATGGTTTGCTTTCAGCCCCAAAATCAAACAAAAAGCGTAGCATTTATCAAGTGGCAGAAGCATGTTGCAGGCTCACAATATGTTGCCAGCTGTACAATGGGCCACTTAAGCGACAACAATAAAAAATTATTAGAATGCCGCAAAGGCAGGAGCTGGCGGGGCAAGAAGCACGAAGCTGTAGCTTCAACAGTTAAGGACTCTGCCTCCTCCAGGCAACTGGGCGCACTTCATAAATCCACCCAAAGGCATATGAAATACGAGTGTATCCTGCGCTGCTGCGCGTCCTAGGGAGGAAACAAACTTTACACTGAGCAAAGCAAAGGGCTTTATTGGGGAAGGCATATGCAAGAAGCACTAATAGGCCATTGAGATCTTCCCGTTCGTAATACAGAAAATGTTCCATTTATTGGGAGACTTTTTAATTTTCTGTGTTGAAAATATAGTTTTCTGTCAGTGTATAAGAGAAAGAGACTGAGCGAAAGACTTGTAACTACTTTTTCCTCTTTTTACACACAGAGGCCTGGAATTTTCCATTTGATTTATTAACAAGCTATCGTTTATCATGTGGGCAACAAAGGGTTAACGTCTGCAAATCCCCTTCTTCTTCTTATTCTTCTTCGGCCCTGACCAAAAGCAAAGGAAAAGGCAGCTGCAACGTTTTTGGCGACCATTCCACAGCAATTGCCAATTTGTTGTATGTGGATGCCACTGCTGCCACAAGCGGCAGCACTGTCCAAGCAGCTACGGGACAGCGAGGCGGCACATGTCCCGAAAAAAAAATATTGTATCTGTGAGGCGGCAACTCAGATAAACAATCGCCGAAAGATAAACAGAGGCAGAAAGTCACGTAAAGTATGCGCCCCGAGAAATGCCGGAAAAAAAGCTGAGTAAAAAACACACGGAAAAGCGGATGGCATTCCGTTCCTCTCCGATAATTTATGGGAGGGGGTCGCAGTCATGAGGTCTATAAAAATTAAGATATTTCCCATAAACTTTTCATACGCAAAGAGAGCGCAAAAAATGCACATAACTTATGTTGAAAATATTTGTGTGTTTTTTTCCCCCAAAATGCCACATGCCACACCGTTTCCAAATTTTTCTATGGACGTGGGGATGGATTTCGGGAGAAAATCTTTGGCGTGTTGAAGCGTTAAGTTTCCTCCATGGGTGTGGGCGTGTGTTCCCTCAACAAAGAGAGAGAGAGAGAGAGAGATAGATGGAGAGGGCAGCAGAATGGAGGGAGAAGCAAACAAGTTGCACGATGGGAAAGGAGTCGCCAGTGGTTGGCTAGAATCTAGAGCTCTGCTCTACGTGGGTGCCGCCGGTTGCCCGCTGTCCGTTGCCCGTTCGACGGGGGTCTGGGCCCAAAGATAAAATGTTGACCAATAAATTTTCTGACCATGAACGACAAACACAGAGCAAGGGAGACAGAGCAGACGGCTAAGAAAAGAGGAACAAAGAGCATGGGGAATAATAATAAACAAGAATGATTAGGGGGAAAGGGGAAGCACAACAAATACGGAATGCTCTCTCACTCTCACGCCCGCTTTCGTTTGCTTTGGAAAACAGTCAAAACAACAAATAAATAATGTTTCATTGAATAGAAGATAATATTTAATGATTTCATCGTTCAAGAATGAAGGAAATTTTCGTTTAAAGATCGATACATCAGAGAAATTTTGTAAAATCCGATGAAAATCTACGAGAATTCTCATATTTAGAGAACTTTAACAACACCATCGAACATTAAAATTTAACCTTTACGTTCCCTTACAAACGTCCCACCATACCCATGGGACTCTTTCAATCTTTTTCTCTCTCTGTTTCTGCGTAAGGGTATTTCCGACAAATGTGGAAAAACTAGCGCGACCGGCGACGGCGGCTAGCAACTGATGTCCGAAGTCCAGCCAGCCCCATGTCCCTGCCCCTTCAGCTGGACCAAGTTCCATGACAAGTTAGGGGCCGACGACGACGCCAGCGAAACGTGTGACGAAAGAGGAACGAAAAAGGAAGGTAAAGAAAAAGGAGGGTAAGCTTTACAGTAACCGAAGCATGACATACCCTTGCAGATCAATCATTAATATTCTTATGGGAGCCAGAACGATCGTTCATCTGTCAGCTGCCCCACACGAGGTAGTACGAGTCTATGAAATGGGGATTACATCTCCAATATAAAAACATAGTATAGCAACAGCTAAGCCAAGGTACAAACTATGCAACGCAGTGAAATCTTAATTAGTTGCACCTTACTACAAATCTTATTTGAAATGCTAAGAGACAATCGTTTGAAGAAGTATTGAGATAGAGTTTCCCATACCATATACACTTGCTTCTCAGCACGTTTTTGGAACTAGCGAAATGCCGCAAGAGAAGCCTTCGTAGGCCGTAGCGATCGCTTCTCTACAGTAATTCCTACCCAAGGCATCACTCTAATTACAGAAAAATCACTTCCACAGAATCCCAAATAAACTGACAGACGAAAACAAAAGAATCGATGGCATGCGGCTGTGGTGCGGTGCGGTGCGGTGCGGTGCAGTGCCTGCGCTGCGTGTGGAAAATTACCTGCCAAAGAACGAGCCGCTGTCGTTACCGCCCGTCGCCGGCCACTAATTGATAAGCTTCATATCTACTAAATGTATCTCTACATATTCGTATGCGTATACTCGAAAATTCAGAGCAGCCGCACAGTTACTGTTACAGCCTCATATGCGGAGCACAGCACTTGTGTTAGGTAAGTAATTAACTATGTAAATTTCAAGGGGAAATAGAAGGTGGGGGAGAAGGAAAATTGGGCAAGCCTCTGCTGCCTCTTCTTCTTACCTGTCGCATCTGTGACGCACGGACGCTGTCGACGGCGACGGCGACGGCGACGCCGGCTTCGCTTCGCTTACGCAGCAGAACAACTCCTCTCTATGCTACTATGGGCTCTCTCGCCTACGCATGCAGCAGCACAGACACAAACGTGTTGCGCGCACACACATGTACGGGAGCAGGCGCACCACTACCACTGCAGATTCGCACAGCTGGTAAATGCAACGAATGTGAGGCACAAAACAGAGTCGCAGAGAACACAAAGCACAAAAATAAAGAGTTATGTCAATTGCGCTGCTTCCGCTGCTGCTACCAAACACTGGAATTACGGTTGTTTGTTGCTGCTGCTGCTTTTGTTGTTTTTGTTGCTATTTGGCACGGGAATCGACAAGCGCATTTTTCGAATTCTTGCACACACTTTTTCGCTTTTTGCATTTGTTTACGTCACCCACACACGCACAAACACACAAACGTTCTGGTGAATGAAACGTGCCAGAGAGAGAGAAACAAAACGAAAAATTGGCAATCAATCGCCTGCCGCGCTGCTGCCTCTACCTCTGCCGTAGAGCTGCTGCCGCGTACCACACGGAAATAAACAAAACTTATTTATAATCATTCAATCGCGCACAAACCTTAACGAATATTGTAATTATTTTTCGAACATTGCGCGGTAATTGGGCTAAATTTTGCCTCAGAAAATCAGCAGCGTCGCAGGCAAAAATCGAAATTTCCACGGTCGTTGCGCCTTTGATCCCCGCGGTGACTCTTTGTTGATAAGGCTGACCGATTAGCACAACGCTCAGCTCAGCATCGAATTGTTGTAGCAGCACGCTATGCACGCTCGCGTTCGTTTATTTAATTCACACATTTCCGCGACATGCCCGATTTTGTTTGGTGTTTCGACATTAGTGTGACTGTGGACTTATCGACGAGACATACCGTGCAACCATCAAAGATATACCGAAATTTACCATCTCATTTTCAAAATATACCGTAACGAACGGGTGACCAATTTGTCTTGTTTTGAACGATCTCAACTTGCTCATTTTTGCGTATCATGAATGAGTTTATAATGAGTCGATAAACTATGTGGGTATTATAAAAAAAAACGACTATCCTAAATTCGGAGCAAATCGACAATATTTTGTTGTACACCGGAGACGATGCTTTTCGATGCTTTTGTACGATACTTGGTAGAATATCATAAAAAATACCAAAATACTTTTCTGCACCAAGTTGACAGCTCCCAACTGCCGACGCTTACCAGCACTAGTCCGCTCTCAGTGGGCGTAAAAATAATTCATTCCGAAAAAACACCAAATAATTATCAACTATAATAACATACAGCAATTATTACGCCACGTAGCGGAGGGTGCAGAATGTCCGAGTTGAAGGCACCTTCACTGCAGTCGCTGCTGGAGTCGGATCGCGGCTCCACCGACAGCCTGCTGGCCGAATCATTGCAACTCGACTTTGAGGACGTGAGTAGTTTTTCACTCCATTGAAAAAAGCCGAAAGGAAACGTAATTCAACTGAACACATATTAATGACACCCAACAGCTGGACGATGCAGAGTTTGCCATTCCGCCCACCGATGTCCTGCCCACCCTGGAGGCGGTGCTCAGCGAATTTGAGGCCGATTCGGACGTTGCCTCAGAGCTGGGGGTGCCGGTGCAGCATGCCACTCCCACCCCCTCGATAGGGGAGGATAGCGCCCTCCGCGGCGACGGTCGCAGCGGCGGGGGCTCGATCATGAGATACACCCTGCTGCATGGCATTTCCGCACAGCTGACATCCGCAGGGGAGCGAGTGAACGCGGGGGCGGCCAGCGCCTGTGCCGTGGCCGCCTACATAGCTGTGGGCACATCCCATGGCCACATCCTGAACTTCGATGTGACCCAGACGCTGCGCTGGGCCCACCAGGACAAGCACGGCCACGGAGCGGTCTCCAGCCTCGCCTTCAACGCGGATTCCACGAGGCTGCTGGCAGGATATGCCCGCGGACTGGTCGCCATGCTGGACACGCACTCAGGGGATGTCCTGCGAGAGCTTTTCGATGTGATAACCCCAAACACTGGAGTGCTGCACGTAAAGTGGACCTCGCGCTCCTCCCTGGCGCTCTGTGCGGATGCGGGAGGATCTGTGTGGTCGCTGAGTTTCACCCGAAAGCTGGGCATCCGTGGCTGCAGCTCGCGCTGCCTCTTCTCGGGCGCAAGGGGCGAGGTATGTGCCGTGGAGCCGCTCATCATGGACTCGCAGGGGCGGCACGAGCTCGATCAGTACTGCATTGTGGCGCTGGCAACGCTCTCCAAGTACTTTATCGTCACTGTGCGCCCGCGTCTTCGTGTGATCAAATATCATGTGCTGCAGGGTCCACCCGACTGCCTGCCACTCCTCGCCTGGCACCTGGTGCTCATCCAGGCGGCAGACACCTCGCGCTCCGTGGATCCCGTCATCGTTGTGGGCCGCGGCAATCAGCTCTTCTTCCACCAGCTCTTCGTGTCGAATGGAAGGATCACGCTGCTCTACCTGCGGCATGTACAGCTCCATGGCAGCCTCCTCTCCGCCCACTGGCTCGGACCCAAGTGCGTGGCATCGCTGGACACCTCGGAGATCCTGCATCTGGTGGATGTGCGCTCCAGCAAGGAGCTCGAGTGCATGGATATGGCCAATGCGGGACTCGTTTACGGCTCGGCGCAGTTCAAGGGACTGGCCACGGGTGGCAATGTTTCGCCCGCGTTCGCTCTGGCAGGCAGCAATGCCTGCTACAACTCTGTGGTGTCGCGTGGCACCCAGTTGTATGTGCTGGGCGCCCATTCGCTGCACATCATTGGCGTGCGTACGTGGTCGGAGCGGATTAGCTACTTGGTGAAGCATCATCGGTGGCAGGAGGCCTGCCAACTGGCCCTCGATGGCTACGTTGCCTCCGTGGATCGTCCGCGGAAGCGTGCCCAAGCGAAGGAACGCATCATAATGCTGTTCAGGGAATACATTGCCAACTCTGCGCGTGCCCCCGACTACTGCCTGGGATCAATAGTCAATTGCTTGATCACCATCGGGGAGCTGGAGCTGCTGTGGACACAGCTCTGGGAGAAGCTGCAGGGCAACAGCAGGGAGCTCTTTCTGCAGCACATATCGGAGCACATCGAAAGGGAGACCATTCAGAGCGTCAATCCGTTGATATCCCAGGCCCTGGTTGACTACTGGCTGGAGCGCTCGCCCGCCAAGCTGGAGAAGCTCATCCTGAAACTGGATTGGATGTGCCTCGATCTCAATCAGGTGCTGAAGGCAGTGAAGCGGCATCGCTTGTACCGTGCACAGATCTACCTCAACACACAGGCGCTCGGCGACTATACGGCAGCGCTGACGGAGCTCCTGCCGCTGGTCACGCCACAGGAGACGGATTTGGGCAACTGCCTGCTGGTGTACGTTTCCAGTTGCCTCGCTGGCAGGGGCTATCCCACGGGGGACATACCCGCGGAGCAGGTGCAGCAGGTGAAGCACGATGTCTTGAGGTGTCTCACCTCGCAACATTCCAAGGCCGGCCGGGAGGAAGAGGAGCTGCCGTATCCCTATCTGCGGGCACTCTTGAAGTTCGATACGCGCGAGACCCTCAATGTCATCTCGCTGGCCTTTCAGGAGCGCGAATTCAGCAACGAGCTGGGCTTGTCCCATCGCAAGAGGATCATTTATTTGCTGCTCGAGATCATGACGCCCGAAAATGCCGCAGTAAGAGCTCGTTATTCACCATTCGCCACTTTGCACTTTCCACTTTCCACTTATCGCTTCCAAACTCTTTTCCATGTCGCTTTCTAGTGGGCGGAAATTGGCTGCCTGTTGAACTTTATTGCCCAACAGATCTCGATGCAGTGCCTGCCACGGGACAGGCAGCTGTTGCAGCGCGTCCTCAGCCACTTGGCGCAGGAACACATCGAGCATGAGAGCAGTCGCCAGCATTCGGAGCGGGAGAGCGCCTGGCATGAGCTGTTGTCGAGCAATTGCCTGGCGGACATCAGCAGCGACGAGGAGCAGCTGGCTCTGGCGGAACGGGCACGCTGCTACTATGTGGTGGAGTATCTCCTGGAGAAGCTGCAGCGCTACGAAAACATCTTGGACTGCTACATCCAGAATGAGTCCAGGCACGAGACAATGTTCGCGTACATGGAGCGACATGTGTCTGTGCCTGGGCGATGCATTTATCCGCAGTTGAAGCAACATCTGCGACAGCTGCTGACGATCAATGCAAAGGAAACAACGCGCCTGCTGGCGCTGCACTATCCGGAGAGGATAATGCAGCTGCTGGAGTCCCTGCTGGAGGAGGAAGCTCTTCTCTTCTGCTTCCTAAAGTGCTTGAACGAGCGCCAGTGCGAGCTGGAGGCGGAACAGATGGAGCTGCTGCTGGAACTGTTTTGCAAACTGGAAACAACCGCGGCAGTGGAGCACTTCCTGGCCACCAACTGCGGCTATCGCCTGGAGCAAGCCATTGCCATATCAAAGCGCCATCGACTAAATCGAGCTGTGATCTACCTCTACGAGAAGCAGGAGAGCTACGCGAAAGCCTTTGAGCTCTCCATGGATATGCTGCGGGCGGCGGCAGGCGAGCAGGCGGTGAAGGAGGCGCAACAGATCTCGGCTCTGCTCTCACGGTCCGTTGAGAAACTGCCGCCGCAGGAGCTGGAGCGCTGCTGGTTCACACTGCTGCAATACATTCTTCCCCACCAGGAGCTGCAGGCCATCACCAAGGCCATGCTGCACGAGGCCTCGCAGCACATCGATCTGCACAATCTCGTGCAGCTGATCATGAACACGCCCCACAATGTGAACAGCAGCTTTGGGGACATCAAGGATCTGCTGATGGGAATGCTGGACAGCTCGCGGCATCAAACGGAGGCCCTGCGCACTGCCGCAGATGCTCTTTGCCAGAACTTGCACGTGCAATTCGCGAGGCAGCAGCGTGTGGCACGGCGCGGCCTGTGGATAACCAGCACCAAATGCTGCATCTGCCGCCAGCGGCTGAGCAATCAGACACAGTTCCTCGTGATGGGCTGCTGTGGTCATGCCTTGCACGAGGACTGTCTGGCGGAGTGCCCCCAAGTGCCAGAGGAGGAGTGTCCGCGTTGCTATGCGAATATTCCACTAGGAGTTGACGGACAGAGTAGCAGCTGCCTGTGTCTGCCAAAAGCCAATCGTCGCCTGTTTTCCCAATCTTCTGCCATGGAGATGGGTGCACTGCAGCTGAAGGCACCGCCCAGACGTTTCTGTTAGCACTGTATTTCCCCTCTCCATGTCCATGTCCTCTATGTATTTAATGTTTTTCCATATCCGATATATCGATGTGTAAGTAAATAAATTTGCATGATAGTCTGGTGCGTTTTACGGGAGTGCCGCTGGTTCGGAGTCATTTAAGAACAATTTTAACGGCTAGAAAAATATGCGCAAGCATTGTGACCGAAAAACGGGAAGTGCGAGCGAAAGGGCATTTAATACTTTGAATCAGCTGTGCGGGTGAGCTATGGAACCCTTGTCAACACTGGCACAAATGTATCGTCGCGATCCCTGTTCATTAAAGGTTCATGTTGAGAAGAGCATCCATCATCCCATCATACATGAGTATTGTTATTAGTATATTCTCACACTCAAATTCGTTCGATTGGACCTCGATTTTTCTGAATATTCCATTCTTCTTTTCTCAGATCTCAAACCTGGCGGTAGACTAGGCGACAGCTAGGTAAGTTCAATATTAAATCAATCATTGTGTTCGGTAGCGTCATGTCATTGCATGCCATGGCTCTCTTGTACGTACAAACAGCTCCAAAGAACGCACATGGTACATATACATAACAATAACAGCCACTATTACGGAAATTCACCTGAACAGTTTAAATAGCTATTCAAATATATAAATTTTTCCGATGATTAGTTACAATATATCGATAGGTCGATATACCATGGATCAATCTATTCAGGGGCTCACAAAACTGTGCGCACAAATTGCTTTAGAAAACAAATAAAATAAATCAGCCAGAAAATGAGCACCCAGGATAACAATACCGACGGCATTCACACCATCGCCATTTACATGGGCCGTCTTTTCATGAACGATCTTTATTCGGACGTAGCTTTCCTGGTGGAGGATCAGCGGCTTCCGGCCCATCGTCTCGTTGTGGCGGCGCGCTGTGAGTACTTTCGAGCCATGCTCTACGGGGACATGGCCGAGTCAAAGAAACATGAAATTCAGCTCCAAGGAGGTGCCGCTGGAGGCTTTCATGACAATCCTCGAGTACCTTTACTCGGACAAGCTTCCTCTAGCCAAAATTGGTGTGGATAAGACATTAGATGTGCTTAAGCTGGCACATCTTTACGGCGAAGATCGAAGAAGACGTTCGTTAGCTGGCTGACTGCATCGAAGCGTATGGGAATCCGCGACAGCGGATTTTCAATTTTCAAATATAAACCTTATTTAGAGATTAGCGATGACATTCAGTGGATGGCCGTGACGTATATCACGTTCAGCGTGAGTCACATCATCATAAAGTCACTTTTACGTGAATATCAACTAATCTTTTCACAGATATTTGTTATATTTAAATAGCTGATCATAATGATTTTCCCGTTTCCCATTAATATTTTATAAAATCAGCACTTAATCTCTTTTGAAAATATTTGATGGTCACAGTGACTACAAGTATGCACATCTCCAACTACTCTGCGTATCGATAATCAGCTGTTCGTTCCATCTGACTGCAGTGTTGTGAAACATCAAATATATACAATCCGAAGAACTTATTGAATGCAAAATCTGCTTATAAAGAAAAATGAATGGACTGGAGAAATGCCGCATCTGTTGCTGCTCCATTGACTACAATGAGGAGGCATACAACTTGCTGCAACTGCCCGAAGTGGCCGAAATGTTCACCGCCTGCACAGATTTGTTGGTGGATCCGCGGGAGGATGACTTGTTGCCCAGCAAGCTGTGCTGTGTCTGCTGCGAGGAGCTGCAGAGGTGCCATACGTTCCGTAAACTCTGCATAGAGGCGGACACCAACTGGCGCTTGCAGAAAGGGGACTCGGCGAATACAATTATGGAATCAGACGACATGTCGCTCTCCACATCGGAGCTCACGAGTAGCCCTTCCCCACCCATTGAAGACATCGAGGTGGTGCTGGTCGATGAACAAATCCGAGGGGAAAAACCACGCCAAATATTAAAGAACGAAACTAAGGAGAAAGCAAAGAAAAAGGCAAAAAAGAGGACGAAGGTAAAGGCAAAAAAGGTGAGTGGGAGTCCATTGAGCAGCGTCAATCCCTGATTTATATAAACAAATTAAATTCCCTGTTCGCTCAGGTGCCCCCAAAGGAAAAGCCGGTTTTGGCCTTCAAGTGCGAGATCTGCTCGAAAGGGTTTGTCGATGAGAGTCGCCTGCAAGCGCACATGCGAGTACACGATGGTCGCCTGCTCTTTCCCTGCACAGAGCCTGGCTGTGACAAGAGCTTCGGTGCATGGCTGGCCCTTAGGGTACATCTGCGGGGGCACGACGGCTCGGGCACGTGGTACACGTGCGACCAGGAGAGCTGCAGCAGGAGCTACCTCTCCAAATACAACCTGGCGCTCCACAAACGCAAAGTCCATGGCATAGGCAAGAAACTCAAATTGCATGTGTGTGAGTTCTGCGGCAAAGTCATGAAAAGTGCGAAAGACCTCGAAATCCATCTGTACACACACAAGGACAAGATGGAGAGGCAATATGCCTGCGAGGAGCCAGGCTGCTCTCAACGTTTCCACAGTAAGGCGATACTCGAGGAACACGTGTTGCGGCACAAGGGCATCAAGAACTTCTCGTGTCCCCACTGTGGCCTCAAGAAGACAACAAAGCGCGGGCTGAAGGTTCACATTAATATTCACACGAAGGAGCGTACCTTTCCCTGCCCGCACTGCCCAAAGGTGTTGACGAGCACCGGCACAAGGAAGATGCACATAAGCGCAATTCACGAACAGGCCAAGAACTATGCCTGCAGCAAATGTGACAAGAGATTCGCCAGGCCGAACACGCGGAATTATCACGAGTTGACGCACTTGGGCGAGCGGACATGCAAGTGTGAAGTGTGCGGGAAGGGTTTCAACCAGCCTTCGAGCCTGTCCCAGCACCGAAAGGTCCATAAAAAGGATCAGGCTCAGTCGCCTCTTGGTAAAGATATGGAACTCTGATTGGAAGGAGGCTACCCAGCCATCGGTTTCATAGGTTTATTTTTTCAGAGAGATATTTATAGTTCGCTTAAGTCACGTTTAAATATTATGTGTATTACAACAGGTGTTTGATTTGAAAAATTCGCCAAATAAATCACTGCAAACACGTTTTGCAGCACGACAGAAGCAGTATTGCAAAACGCCAAACACAAACAAAAGCAAAGCAAAGAAGCTGCAGGATATTCAATGAAATTGCATGGCGTGGACCTATTCTTAATAGAAGGGAGCCGATGGAAGGGAACACAAAAAGTCGCTTCAAAAAACCAAGAATCTTTGTGTGATGGAGAGCAAAGCGGGGAGTACACAAAGTATCTTCGGAGTTCTGGTCTATTTATATATAAAATGGTATCGCTTCGAATTTGTATGAAAATCGAAATTTTGTTTGAAAATGTTCATCTCGATGGATCCAAACTTTGAGACTGGAAACAAAGAGACCAAAAAATAGGTAAGCTCAAACAAAATCATTGCGTCGTTATTTGAAGCAGGTACAAAATCAGAACACAGACAACACACACAAATGAACAAATTCGATAACAAATCGACTGTTGCTGCGTGCGCACTCCTCTCTCTCACTCTCTGGCAGTGTGGCTCGTCAAAGACTGGAGAAAAATACCCTTAAAGAAGTATATATTTAAGGACTATGCATATAAAACCATATCCAAATATACTCCACATTGCACTACGATTCTGAAAAAGATTTATGAATTTTCTCAAATCACGTCTCTCATTCAGTTCCTCAAATTATTTGAGGCCTCAGGGAGTTGTCCGTGGGAAAAGTGCCATTATAATGCTGTATAAACTCCGTGCACTGTTCCGCTGCTCATCCAGAAGAGATATTTAATAATAGATGCAGAAATTGAAACGTTGAAATCTCCACTTACCTTTGGGAAAAGCCAGAGTCTCATACAATTTTAGATTTCTCATCTGAAAGAACCGGAAAACACTGTGAAATATTAAATCATCTCTGGTCTTATGGGCAGCCTCGAGGAATTTGCGAGCCGGGACTTTATCAAGGCCCAAAGAGTTCTTGGCCAAACGTAAGGCATCAATCACTTTGCCCTGCCCCAACATCACCTCAACGATGATCTGAAAAGAAGAACGCACTTGGCAGAGAACAGAGGATATCAGGGATAGACAGTGGCTTACCTCATACGCCTGAATCTTGCCCAGCATGTCGATGGCCACCTGGGAGATGGCCGTATTAACATCGGAATGGGAGAGCAGAAAGCAAGCCACCGCCTTGGATTCCAGCAGCATGGAATAGCTAACGAGACGACGCAGTGTATCGAAGCTGTGATTGTGGATCAGCTCGCTGATGATCATCTTGGAGAGCTCCTCCTGGGCGGCAATGTTGAATTTACTCAGCGATTGTAGGTACAGCATCAAAATGGTCTCGGTGTAGGGCCTCTTCGCTATCCTCTGGAATATCTGCACCATATCCAGCTGCTCGATGAGGACAATGGGCGGTGAGGAGTGCTTCACCGTAGTTGTCTTTATATTCGAGGGCTGTGCCGTTTGATTCTGCAGCTCCAACTGCACCCAGGAGCTAAAAAGAGTTGGTGGTGCCAAGATGATGTCAGCTAGAGGGTATACCAGCAGAGAGAGAGAGAGAGAGAGAGACTATCGAAGAGCTTTAACCTACGCATAAATCTTGTTTATCCTGCTGAAAATGGTCTCCAGGACGGGCAGCAGCGTGCCCTTGTATTGATCGTCCACCAGCTGTCCCAGGACCTTCAGCAGAACCTGCTTGCCACTGCTTCGCTGCAGCAAGAACTCTGTTAGACGTATGCGATCGGAGATCAGATTACACAGCGGATCAATGCACAGATTCAGGTACCACATGCATCCTAGCTTTGCGTCGATCACGATATTTGGCTGGAACAGCACCCAATGGGTGGAGTCTGCAAGGTATTTACGACATCAGATTACACATTATAATGGGCAGCGAATGTACCTACACAGCTCGCATTGGAGGATTTGTCCATCGGGCGAAAGCGAGGGAAGCTTCAGACCAAAGGGTTTGATGGAACGACCCGTTGTAACGGGAGCATGGTATGTGATGTCCTGAATGACCTCGCCCGTGAGGGATATATCGAAGAGCAGCGATGTCCCAGTGGCCTGATGATGCACCACAATCAGATTGTCCACCGTATTGATGGCAAAGCGCCCAACGAGGCTGAGGCGCAGCACATGGCATTTTCGTGGAGCCAGTCCTGGACCGTTCAACAGATGCACCTCCACTTCCATCAAGCCCGTTGTGCTGTTCGACTGGAGTATGAGCACAGTCAGGACGCCATACACTTGTCCCAGGGTGACTTTGCTTTCCTGGACCTCGCGACTGGGACTGCCTACTGATAGAAATGTCATTAAAGAAGTCTGGAAAGCTGTATAGTGGCCAGGAGCACTCACAGTCCACCTTCGGGAGCTTGGTGATGACTTTCTGCTTGACCAGAACGGGTACCAGGCTGTTGCCTTCGGTGGTGCAGAGCAGGGCCACATTGGCATCGCAGCACCAGGCGAACCACTTGATGCTTATGCTCAGGGACTTGACAGAGCGCACCTGACGCTTCTCCGGCAACACGGTGTATACCTCAACGCCTGTGTTGGATATCAGGGCCACTTCCCGGTTGTGGATCCACACGAAGCCATGGATCATCGTCTTCACCTGATGCGTGATGATGTCCTGCAGCAGTGGCTGCTCCCCCTGGAAGCAGATGAACTCCACTGCATTCTCTTTTCGCTGCACAGCCAGTATTTGATTATCCGGCGAGAATTTGATCGAACGAATCGCTCCACCACGATCGTTCATGCAAAAGGATATAACCGTGTCTTCGTTGGGGACAGGGCCCTTGACGACAACCCCAGTGGCACCACCCGACCGCACAGCAAAGATCTGCAACGAGGCAAGACATTCATTTTACGAGTAGTTCCAGTAGCTGACAAACGCTCTTGCCTGCTTGTTCGAATCATCAAAGAAGACATTTGTTAGCTGGCTGACGGCATCGAAGCGTATGGGAATCCGCGACAGCTCAATATAATGTATTCCATTCGAATTTTCCATTCTTTTTGCAATAACAATTTTCAAATATAAATCTTGTTTTCAGCCGCCCACCATTAGAGATGACATTCAGTGGATGGCCGTGACGTATATCACGTTCAGCGTGAGTCACATCATCATAAAGTCACTTTTACGTGAATATCAACTAATCTTTTCACAGATATTTGTTATATTTAAATAGCTGATCATAATGATTTTCCCGTTTCCCATTAATATTTTATAAAATCAGCACTTAATCTCTTTTGAAAATATTTGATGGTCACAGTGACTACAAGTATGCACATCTCCAACTACTCTGCGTATCGATAATCAGCTGTTCGTTCCATCTGACTGCAGTGTTGTGAAACATCAAATATATACAATCCGAAGAACTTATTGAATGCAAAATCTGCTTATAAAGAAAAATGAATGGGGACACTGCAAGCACGTGGGGAAAATAACCTCTACGCCAGGTAAGTATTGGAGCAAAGCTGTAACCAAGTTACATATTACGACGTGGCGATTTCCCCCTTGAAAGGCGGGTGGCCAAATAATTCCCCTCTACCTAAGGGTAGAGCGGTAACTTAAAACCTCAAAAAAAAAAAAAAAAATGAATGGACTGGAGAAATGCCGCATCTGTTGCTGCCCCATTGACTACAATGAGGAGGCATACAACTTGCTGCAACTGCCCGAAGTGGCCGAAATGTTCACCGCCTGCACAGATTTGTTGGTGGATCCGCGGGAGGATGACTTGTTGCCCAGCAAGCTGTGCTGTGTCTGCTGCGAGGAGCTGCAGAGGTGCCATACGTTCCGTAAACTCTGCATAGAGGCGGACACCAACTGGCGCTTGCAGAAAGGGGACTCGGCGAATACAATTATGGAATCAGACGACATGTCGCTCTCCACATCGGAGCTCACGAGTAGCCCTTCCCCACCCATTGAAGACATCGAGGTGGTGCTGGTCAATGAACAAATCCGAGGGGAAAAACCATGCCAAATATTAAAGAACGAAACTAAGGAGAAAGCAAAGAAAAAGGCAAAAAAGAGGACGAAGGTAAAGGCAAAAAAGGTGAGTGGCAGTCCATTGAGCAGCGTCAATCCCTGATTTATATAAACAAATTAAATTCCCTGTTCGCGCAGGTGCTCCCAAAGGAAAAGCCGGTTTTGGCCTTCAAGTGCGAGATCTGCTCGAAAGGGTTTGTCGATGAGAGTCGCCTGCAAGCGCACATGCGAGTACACGATGGTCGCCTGCTCTTTCCCTGCACAGAGCCTGGCTGTGACAAGAGCTTCGGTGCATGGCTGGCCCTTAGGGTACATCTGCGGGGACACGATGGCTCGGGCACGTGGTACACGTGCGACCAGGGGAGTTGCAACAGGAGCTACCTCATGCATAGCCTCCTGCTGTTCCATAAACGCATGGTCCATGGCATAGGCAAGAAACTCAAATTGCATGTGTGTGAGTTCTGCGGCAAAGTCATGAAAAGTGCGAAAGAACTCAACGGCCATCTGTACACACACAAGGACAAGCTGGTGAGGCCGCATGCCTGCGAGGAGCCAGGCTGCTCTCAACGCTTCGTCAGTAAGCGGTTGCTCGGGCAACACGTGATGCGGCACAAGGGCATCAGGAACTTCACGTGTCCCCACTGTGGCAGCAAGAAGACAACAAAGAGCGAGCTGGGGGCTCACATGAACATTCACACGAAGGAGCGTACCTTTCCCTGCCCGCACTGCCCAAAGGTGTTGACGAGCACCGGCACAAGGAGGATGCACATAAGCGCAATTCACGAACAGGCCAAGAACTATGCCTGCAGCAAATGTGACAAGAGCTTCACCAGGCCGAACACCCGGAATTATCACGAGTTGACGCACTTGGCCGAGCGGACATGCAAGTGTGAAGTGTGTGGCATGGGCTTCATCCAGCCTTCGGCCCTGTCCCAGCACCGAAAGGTCCATAAAAAGGATCAGGCTCAGTCGCCTCTTGGTGAAGATATGGAACTCTGATTGGAAGGAGGCTACCAAGCCATCGGTTTCATAGGTTTATTTTTTCAGAGAGATATTTATAGTTCGCTTAAGTCACGTTTAAGTGTTATTTGTTGTACAACAGGTGTTTGATTTGAAAAATTCGCCAAATAAATCACTGCAAACACGTTTTGCAGCACGACAGAAGCAGTATTGCAAAACGCCAAACATAAACAAAAGCAAAGCAAAGAAGCAGCAGGGTATTCAATGAAATTGCGTCTCGGGAAAAAGGATCCCTGTAAATGGATAAATTGGACAAGTGTCGCGTGTGCTGCTGCCGAGTCAAATGGGAGGACGAGGCATACAACTTGTTGCAGATCCCCAAAGTGGCAGCAATGTTCACAGCATGCACAAATTTGTTGGTGGATCCGCGGGAGCAGTATACGCTGCCCAGTGCCCTTTGCTGTGGTTGCTACGAGGAGCTGGAAAAGTTCCACGCATTTCGTACTCTCTGCATAGAAGCAGACACCAAATGGCGCGCATTCAAAGAAGAAACAGATGCGGATGCGGATGTGGATGTGGGTGTGGATATCCCGGATGTGAATGAGACTCTACGCGAATTCGACCTACTGATGGCAAGGAAAAGCACTGCTCCACCCATTGAACCCATAGCGCTAGCTCCTGATCTACCCATTGAACTCATACAGCTATGTCCTGTTCCGCAAATGGAATCCACACAGCTACGTCCGTGGTCACCCCTTACAACCATTCATGCAAGTCGTGTGCCACTGCTTGCATCCATCCATCAGATTCCTGAGCCGCCCCTTCCACCCTTACATTCGAGTCCTGTCCTCATTGAATCCATACAGATAATTCCTGCCCAACCAACTGAATCCATATTATGGAAAAATCCTATGCCAGCCATAGAATCCACACAGCCCGAGCTGTTGCAACGGACAGGTGCCAAACAGAGTCATGAAAGTTCATGGCCGAACAAGAAACAAAATGAAACGAATCCAAATCCTCAACAGTTCAATGAGAAAACACAAGCCAGCATCAATTTATGGATACAGCCGAGTCCTGACCCGCCCCTTTCAACCATACATCAAAATCCTGTCCTCATCGAATCCATACAGATAATTGCTGCTCCACCAAGTGAATCCATAGTATGGAAAAATCCTGTGCCAGCCATTGAGTCCACACAGCTGGAGCTGCTGGAGTTTATGGATGCCAAAAGAAGTAATCAAACGTCACGGCAGAATAAGGAACTAAATGAAACGAACCCAAACCCCCAAACGGTGAGTGGGAAAAACAAAACGGGCATCAATTTATTCGTATTATATGATCTTCTAGGTGCATACAAAGTTGCGTTCCTCAAACGAAAGGCCTGCCCGAAGTGCACAGACGAAAACTGAGGAAGAGAGCAAGGAATCTAATCGGAAGACTCCAAAAGATCCTGAAAAGGTGACTGGGAAACCATGATCGATCATCGGCTTACTCAGATTCCTCTCATTTATAGGCTCCTACAGACCTGGATGTTCTCAATCGTTTCTCAGAAAAGACTTCAAAAGATCCCGAAAAGGTGACTGGGATACCATGAGCGTTCATAGATATGTACATTCAGACTTCTCTCGTATTTTAGACGTTTTTAGAACAGGATTTTATCAATAATTCCTCAGACGAAACGCGATCTCGAAATACAAAGAAGAAAACTGTGAAAGTAGACAAAGAACCTAATGGGACGAATCCAAAAGATCCCGAAAAGGTGACTGGGAATTTATAATCGTTCATCGATTTATGCAGATTTCTCTCGTATTTTAGGCTCCACGAAGTGCAAAGAATAAAACTGTGGAAGAAGTCAAGAAACCAAACCAAAGAAAGACTTCAAAAGATCACGAAAAGGTGACTGGAAAACCAAATTCGATCTTTGTTTAATGCAGATTTATCTTGTCTTTTAGGCTCCTTCAGACCTTGATGTTCTCCAGCGATCCTCAGAAGAAAAGCGTCATCGGAGTGCAAAGAATAAAACAGTGGAAGAAGTCAAGTCAAAAGTCTCAAGTCTCGAAAAGGTGACTGGAAAACCATAAGCAATCATCCATTTATGCAGACTTTTCTCGTATTTTAGTCTATTTCAGAGCAGGAATTGCTCAACCGTTCCAAAGGCGAAAAGAGTCCTCAAAGTGAAACGAAGAAGTCTGCGGAAGAAAACAAGGAATCTAATGAAAAGCTACCAAAAGATCCCGAAAACGTGAGTTGGACACCATATTTAAACATTGTCTTATGCAGATTTCCCTCGTATTTTAGGCTAATTCAGACCAGGATCGTCTGGACATCTCCAAAAGCGTCAAACCGCGCCCAAATGTCTATCAAAATGGTCCATATTCATTAAAAAGAATAATTTTGAACAAGTATCTAAATGGAATAAATCCACGAGTAGAAGAGGTGAGATGGAACACATAGGCGTGAAGCGATTTATGCAGATTTACTGGTCTCCTAGGTCCCACCAGAGCAACAGAAGATCGGGAGCACAGATGCCAGAAAGAGTTCCGAAAGTTCAAGCCAGATACCAAAGGAAAAAAAATCACATACAGGAGATGTGATTGAAGAATCCTCCAAGTCACATGCAGCAGAGGTGATAGGAGATTCTGCGAATCAGGACTTTGTCAGTCGCTTTTTTACGTGCGACATCTGCTGCAAGAAATTTGCCTCCGAAAGACGCTGCCAGATCCACAAGCAGCAGCATGGTGGCCATCTGCTCTTTCCCTGCAAACAGCCTGGGTGTGCGGAAAGCTTCAATAGACGGGAGCAACGCACTGAGCACATGAAGATACACACGGTAAATTGGTTCATCTGCGAACAGGAGGGATGCAGCAAGAAATACCGTCACAAGGCAACGTTGGTGACACACCAGCGAAAAGCTCATGATATAAGAGGGTCCGCCTCAAAGTCGCACGTTTGCGAGTTTTGCGGCAAGGTATTCCACACTCTGGCCACGCTCAATCATCATCGGTACACACACAAGGACAAGATACAAATGCCGTTTGCCTGCGAGGAGCCGGGCTGCTCCTTGCGCTTCCGGAAACGGCACCACCTCCTGGACCATACGATGCGACACAAAGGCATCATGAACTACGAGTGTCCCCACTGCGGCGTGAAGAAGATGACCCTGCACGAGCTCAAAGTCCACATCAATCATCACACTCTGGAGCGCACCTGGTCCTGCCCGCACTGTTCGAAGGTTTGCAACAGCTCGACCAATCTGGGAGCGCACATTCGTGCGATCCATGAAGCTGTTAGGAAATATCAGTGCGGCTATTGCAGCATGTCCTTCGTGAGGTCCCACACGAGGCGATATCACGAGATGATTCACACGGGCGAGAGGAACTACAAGTGCATGGAGTGTGGCAAGGGTTTCACCCAGCCCGCCACACTCCGCTCCCACCGAAAGATCCACGAGAGATCCAAGCCGAGACCACCAACTCCTGTTGTCTCCATAGTTCCTGTTCCTGTGGTTTCGGTGGTGCCCATGTCGATTACCGTAGTAGGCAGCGAATTGCTTCAAAATTAAGTTCTTCCATCTGAAATTTAGAATTAAATGCATTTTTTTTTTGTCTATTGATAGGATTAAGTATTAAGTAAGAACCTTTGAAAAACTACTAATGAAAGGAGTTACTTAAAGGTTCGTTGACCTGCCTCTAAAAAGACAACATTCCGATGGTACTTGTATTACTTCTAGGGTAGCATTTTAGTGTATGGTTTTTTATTTATTTAAGTCCATCCATTGATTGGTTAAAATGTTAAAACAAAATTGTGATACGAACATTAAGATATGGTTGGAACTGAATTCCGATACGTTTTGAAAGGAGTTACATACATCGAGGGTCAGCTTATGTGTACTCTTACCTCTCTGAATGTTTTTTATTTATTTTATATATTGTTAAGATTATAGTACGAAAGATGACTAGTCCATCCATTGAATGGTTAAAATGTTACAAAATACCAATGATACGAATTTAAATGCAGCTCTTTATTGTTATCCCATCCCATCCAAAAAAGAAGCTAACCAAAACGCGTCCATTTTCTGCCCCATCTTCTGCATGAGTACCATAGAAACACTTGCTTTGTTTTGGGGATTCAGAATGTAAATAGCATTAAATGGTTTAATTATATTTTCAACTAAAACAAAAAATGTACAGGAAATTCGTGCGTTTTATTTTATTTTTGTTTTTAAATTAGAGGAAATCCTACTATCCGTAAAAACTAAAATACAATACGTCGCGACGTCTGCTAAAGGTGAGTCTGTGATTCGTGAGAGAGAGTGTGTGTGTGTGTGTGTGTGTATATATCGGTATATAGATAGCTATGTATATAGTTTATTGAATATTGTGGTAAATGATATGATGTCTGTGTGTGTGCCACTGTGCTGCTGCCACATTTCCCCCTCAGCTGCGTAAATATTGTGAAATCTTTTGCATTAAAATCGTTGTAAATATGTTTCTTTCTAGATAGACAGATCGTTAGTTAGATCTCTTTGTATCTGTATCTTCTGTGAGCTAAATGGTTGTAAATATGTCGTGTGTATGTATAAATATTGATGTATTTGTATTCGTATATTGTATATATCTTTTCCTATATTTTTTTTGTTGGGGGGGAAATTACGGTTTTGCGGGTTTCTGTCTTCTATTTTCGCTTCGTTTGCCGTCCTTAAGGCTACTGAAAAATGTTGGCATTTTTAGAAAACGCTTTAAAGTACATATAGAACATAAGAATATAGCATATTATAGGCTAAATATCACCCACGATTAAATCGTTGCTTAGATACTATATAAACACTAGATATATAATACATTCTCGCCTTGTATATTCATATAAATATATTCCCGTATTCAATATCATATTTTATCATTTATAGATTACAATTCAGACATTAAACGAAAGACACAAGTCGTTGTCTTCTAAGCACTAAGTGGTAGATGGTAAATGGTAAATGGTAAATGGTAGATGGTATCGTATCCTTAGATAAGTTCTATATAAATCGTATATACTCCTACGATCTATGGGTTGTATATAACGGTATATATCGCCTATATCCTATTAACATTTTTAAGCTCGTCGAACAATTTCACATTCATTTTCACTTCTCCACATCCTCGACTCTCTCTGTATCTCTTTATTCTCTTAGACATAATCCGAGGGCACTGTGCTGGTGCTCGTCTCGTTGATGGCCGCCAGTCGAGGTGCTCGTCGCTGTGTCATGGCTGCTGCCACCGCCGCCGCCGCTACAGCGTCTCCTGGCATCAGTCCAGTGGTGGCAATGCCTCCTGCTCCGCCTGCATTCGCCCCACCGCCATGGTGATCCCAATTTGGCAACGGCTGTGACATCACGTTCAGTCCAACGATTTCGTAGGCACCCTGATTGCTGCCACTTGGCCCGCCACCGCCGGGCATGGCCGTCACGGACAGATCCGAGTAGTAGGCACTGCTCGGTGCCGACGAGACGACCATGGGAATGTCCTGTTCGTGGCCCTGGAAATTGTATTTCTTTGGAATAGAAACAGACAAGTATTTCGGGATTAGTGTTTTGTTGAGATGGGGATCGAATGATGAAACAAACAGTCGTTCGGGGGTTCGGGGTGAGATGAATATTCGATTGTTCAACAGCTTCTGCTCGAAGACTGCACTTTTTATTCAATATGAACCGTGGAATCGATTGTTTCGATTGTTTCGATTGATCTTATGCTGATAGATCTCCTCAGATGTCAACACTCACCTCACCACACTGACTGTAGGCGGTATTCTGATACGAGGGATTGGCGGAACGCACCGACTCCCGGTCGAGCTCGGCATAGAGGGCCTCGCTGACACCCACCGGACTGTAGGCATCGTCCATGTGGGTATAGTGATTCTCCGCTGGGGATGTGGATGGTGGTCCGATCTGGTCGGGACCGGCGGAGGAGCGTCGACTGCCGCCGAGCCAGGTCCAGACACCAGAGTTGCTTGTGGGCCGCCGGATGCTGTCCGCCGAGTGCTTGATGGAGATGGGCGATCGATTCTGGCCGCCACTCCGATTGTTGCGACACCACCAGGGCTGCGGGCGACCACCTGTGGAAACGATGTGAGGGGGAAGGAATGAGTGCAATGAGTCGATGCTGTGGAATCCAAAACGCAGCCGCAGTAGAAAAATCTATGACATTTTGGGTTTATAATCGGGCGATAAATCAAACATTCACCACACACTGCCGTGGAGGAAACAACAACAACCACAACAACAACCACAACAAAAACGCAAACAAAAGACAGCAAACAAACAGATAGACAAACAAACAAAGCGTAAATTAAATGCCTGTCAACTGGCATTGGGAATCGGCATCGGCATCGGCATCGGAATCGGAATCGAGGTGGCAAAATGTTGCAGTTGCAGTTGCAGTTGCACCACCAGTTGGCCACCAGAAAATGCCAAATGTTTCTCCTTTCCTACTGCTGCTGCTGCTGCTGCTGCTGCTGCTGCTGCTACTGATATCAACACATGTGATCTTAAGGCCTGGGAGTTGAATGGAGCTCCTGCTACTGCTGTCCCTCGCTGTCCAAAAGAAATGTGACTCAGTGGATGGCCATAGAAAAGCAATCAAAATATGTGTACATGGTTTGCCACTCATTAAACTCATAATTTATAGACAACTCTCACATAATTGGTAGCCATAAAATGCTCTCTCTGTCTCTGTGGTTGAGCCCAGTTCTCAACATCCGCCATGCGCTTCGGGTTTCCTCATTTGCTTAGCAGTTTGTGCACAATCGATATATAAATATTTTATATTATTCCTATATTTTTAACTCGCCTTTCACTCTCTTTAACTCTGGGGTAAAAGATGGAGCCACTCGAAAGAGCCACTTGGGACAATTCAACTAATTAGCTTGGTGCAAACGCAACGCCAGCAGCGACAGAATGAACAGCTGGACAGACCTGCGGACGGTCGTCCCAAGTTATGTACATGCATAATGCAGGCAGAGAGGCACCAGTAACAGTCGAAGTCGCTGCCGAAGTCGCTGTTTTATGCTTATGATTTACGTACTCCGCTAAGCGAATGTCCAGCTCGGGCTCAGGCTCTGTCTCGGGCTCGGTGGCTTTAGCTGTGGCGATTATTACCCCCAAACCGCAAAAGTTATCGTATGTAGGTGCTCATATACATGCATTTTGTGCATGTCACCAATGCCACAAAACAGCACACACGCTGCCCGAGCTCCCCCTAGCTCTCTCACTCTCTCTCTCTCTCTCTCTCTCTCTAGACCAATCACCCGATCCCCGTGACTCCCAACTCCAAGTGGAACTCCGATTTAATGGCTGTTTTTGCACTGTGTTAACGATGTTGCCGCAGCTACTGGCTGCATGGCCACTGGAGTCGAGTCGAGAGCTATGCTTTAGAGGTAACTGCATTGCACTTATGGTTTCTTTTTTATCTACTTTTGGGTTTCCCAATGATGTGGCACAGTGGTAAAAAAATGGTGGAAGAAACCAAACCAAATTATAAACAAATATTCTTGCTGAAAGTTTTGGTTTATTTTTTTCTGGCAGCAGCGCTCATCTGTTCCTTTTAAGAAAAGGAATTATGAACCTAAAATATCCTATAAATTGTCCAAATAAAATATCTACCGTATGTAAAAGATATCTCCACTTTGGTAGCACTGTGCCACCCGGCTGCTGCTGTTCTGTGGCACAGCTACCGCTTGTGTCTTATCTGTGGCTGCTTATCGCGGGGCAACAGCAGCAGCAACAGCAGCAGCGGCAGCGGCACCAGCCGCCAAAAACCAGCAAACGGCAAATTGTTGTTAACAAAATATTTCACAGTCAGAGAAAAAATAGCAGAGAAGAAAAAAACAAAGAGGAATTTCCAAATAAAAAGGAAACAACAAATATTAACGAGCATTTTTGTGTGTTTGGAATTCAATTTGTGTGCTTTGGGTTTCCATTGGTCTTTCATTTGGGGGTTTCAAATGGCAAATATGACATGTGTAATGAAGTCTTAATAGTTGGATATTTTGGCCAGAGATAATGCCAATCGCTGTACAGCAGCCGGTGTGGTGTCATGCTCGTTTAATGGCCACCAAATGTCACATGGCATTCCGTTTTTTCCGATTACCGTGAATACTTTTTTGAATGCATAATTAAAATCAATGTTACGCATACGACACCGACACTGACGCCGACACCGTCACCGACAACACATTGGCTGCTGTTCAAAAGATAATTGCAATTACAAGGAATTTCCAATGGGGCAACACAGACAGACAGACAGACAGACAGACAGACAGACGTTGTTGTCTCGATTGTCTGAGAGAAGATTGCTGCTCAAATATGGTAATTAGTAGGAGGGTTTTTATGGCTTTACCAAAAGGTTTTTCTTTGGTACAAAAAAGTGTGCCACAGTTGAATGAACATTTTAAAGAGTTTTCTCCACAGCAAAAAATAAAATAAAATTAAATAAAATAAAATAAGCAACTGAGATCTGTGGCAACTGTTGTGGCGCTTGGCGCTTGTCTCTCAACTCCGCCGACATTCAACTTCGGGGACATAATCACGCGCTTTAAAAGCCTGCTGACAGTTTAACGATTTGTGGCGATTGTTTGTTGTCTCTCTGGCTTTTGTTTTCAGTTGCTTGTCAGCCACATGCAACCCGTGCGTACCACCGAAAACGAAATGCCACTTTTGCCAAAATGAAATCCACACAAAAACTCCCCTTCATTCGAGGGGGGACAACTAA